GGAAGAGCCGACGGGAGAGGTGTACGTATACCCTTTACAGGGTACACATTCGTACAAATACATGTATACGTACACCTCTCCCGTCGGCTCTTCCGCCGGAAGACCCGACGGGGGAGGTGGGTGGGTGGGTGTTTCTATATAGGGTGGCCGGCTATATTGACCATGAATGGGTGATGTGAGACACCCATGGCCGGCCACCTCGTGGCCAGTCAGGCCAGGATTACGGCCGTCTCCCAAGCGAAGCAACCGAGGGAGTTGTCTGCAGTGAATCACTGAATGAATGAATGACAATGACCCATGATTGATTGATTTATTGTTTGACTGACATGCAGGATGGCTGATGGGCTGGACGCGCGACACATTAAGAATGCTATCATCCAATGTCTGTCACATCCATCCATCCATCCATCCATTACTCACAGGCACACGCACGTACATGCACCACACCACATGACAGCGAAGCCTACGTGCCACTCACTACTCATGCACTCACTTGTCACTGACTCGTCACCTTACCAGGTGCCCGCGAACGTACCGGCCCCTGGTGGCTGCCGAACTTTGCCACAGCAATCAGGGGCCTTACTCGCGAAAGGGACCTGGCTCATCCACGCACACATAGACGCACGCACCGTCGCACACTAGCTTTAAGTACTGACTGACACTGACAAGACTCAATCAGGTGCTCAGAGAGAGAGAGAGAGAGAGAGGGGGAGGGAGTGAGGGAGGGAGGGAGGGACAGCCAAGAGAGTCGGCAGAGAGGGGACGGTGGGGGAGGCAAAGAGCATGGTAATACACAGGAAGCATTGTAGAGGGCGTTGTTGAGCTGCTGGGATGGCTCAGACATAATCGAGGCCCAGCTTGCCGAGGCCGAATAGGCCCGTGGGCAGCTGCAACCAGGCAGACACAACCAACGGACGGAAGTGAGTGACACACACGGGCTGGGCTGCCGGTGTTTCTCTTTCTTACGTTGACGTAGCATTGCGGGACGGCAAAGCGGCTGGGCGGCCCGTGGCTTTGAAGGACTTAGGCAGAGATACACAGACAGACAGCCAGACAGACAGACACAGAAGATTCCAGCATTAGTAGCTAGCGTCCATCTGTCTGTCGGCTTGTTCCTTCCTTGCTTGATTTCTCTGACTGGCCTGGCCTGCACACCCCGTGGTGTGCAGTGAGTGCACTTACTGCATCTGCCGGCGCCACTGCTGGCATTTTCGTCCTCATCGAGTTCGACCTCGCCGAGGAACTCAATGCCCTGGCAGTTCTCGCCCGCCTCCACACAGAGCTCCGCACACGCAATAATGTCCTCAACCTCGACCGACTCTTCAACTGTTCATTCAAACCAGCCAGCACACAGAAAAGACCCACACCGAAGTGTGCACAGGCTGTGTTGGTGTCGGGCGGTGGAATACTGACTGAATTTGGGTGGCTTGGGTGCCGATGAGTCTGTTCCGTCTGACAGCCGGCACTTGCCCTGGCCGGTCTCAACGAACGTCTCGTTGAAGCCCGTCTCTGTGTCGCCGTCAAAGAAAATCCTCTCGAAGCACGTCACGGGATCAGATCCGGTGACCTTGCTGGTGTGGACATAACACTGCTCAATCGCCACCCCTGCAGACACACAGGCCAAGCGACGAGAGCGCCACATCCACATACACTCACTCACTGGACAGACACGTCTCTCACTCGTGTGTGCACACTGACCGTCCTCGTCTGTCTGCTCGTATGTGATGCCCGTGCAGCCAGACCGGAGCTGACACTTGAGGAAGCACTCGTTGAGCTTCAGGTCGTACCCCACAAGCTCCGTGGTGCCCTCCTTCTCAGTCAGGCACTGCTCTTCTGTCGAGATGGTGATGAAGCCGGGGTATGGGGGATTTTCGATGGCCTCGAGCACGGGTATCGCGTCAACTAAGGCAGCAGGAAGGCCCAAAACAAACCCGGGCAAACCCTTGAAGAATCCTTTTGGCAACAGACCTGCAAGCAGTCGCAGACACACACACGCGCGTGATGGCTTGTCCTCGTGTGTGCAGGTGCCGGTTTGTGTGTGGCGTGCGGCGTGTGGCGGACCGAAGATGAGCTCGTCGTCCTTGTACGTGCCGTCGATGAGGGCATAGAAGTCCTCAAGGAACTTGACATCGGTCGGAGCCAGATTTATAGGATCCAGCAGGTCGGTCACCTTCTCTTGAGGCGTCCGCAGCGCCGAGTCACTGCACCGCACCCACACAACAAGCAATGCACGCACACGCCGAGGGAGGCGAGCGAGTGAGTGAGTGAAGACCCTCCCTCCCTCCCTCCCTCCCTCGTGCATCGATCTCACGTCATAATAAGGCCGAGTGTCTTCTTCCTATCCTCAAGGGGCATCGTATTCTGCATGAACCTGCATAAGCATCAACGCCACAATGACAGCGAGTTAAGTTCCGGTGTCTGCCTGGTGAGCCGAGCTGCTTACTTGTACATGGCCGTTCGGTTTTTCCTCTCCTCTACTGCCCGGCTGGCGTTGATCTCCTGCAGACGCCTCTGATCCACCTGCTGCCCCTCTCCAGCCTGCTGTTGCTGCTGTGGCTGCTTCTGCTTGTTCATGAAATCGTCTGTGGCGAGCGTCAGCCCCGCCGCTGCGACGAGGAGCAACGCGACGCCTCGCCGCATCATCGATCGTGGCCTCGTGTGAGCGGTGTCGCTGCCCCTTCTTCCCAAAGTCAAAAGCGAGTCAATTTACAACTTGAACGGCTGCATGTTGACCTAGGGTTTCCCCGTACAGGCTGCTCGTCTCACTCAAAAACCATCAAAGACGCGCGCTGCGTAGTGTCCCTGTATGTTCCCTTTTTAAGAGAGCGGCGGTGAGTGCCTGGCGCCACAAGGAAGCCCCATTGACCGTCGACCCTCCCTCTTCCAGCCTGCCCCTTCCTCCCTCCGCGCCCCGTCCGTCAGCAGACAGAATGATCAGGGCGCTCTCTCTGCTGGCCGCGCTGTGCGTGGTCTGCCACGCCAATGACGCATTCTTGAGCAGCAGCGAGAAGCGCCGCCTGCAGGGGCACGAGACAGAGATTATGATCGACGGCATTCTGGGCATCATCAGGGACATTATCGACCCCGACAAGGTGAGGGGAGGGGCGTGGCAGGCGTGTGTGCGTGCGTGACCGGCCGGCCGCCCCTCCCACCTGCGCACTCACCTGCACCGGGGGGGTGGTCAGCTGGGCCTTGGCTTCCTCCCACTCACAGTATGCGCGGTTGCATACACCTTTGTGTCGTTCGTGTGTCGTGTACGGTGTGTGAGAGCAGGTGCATGACGATGTCACTGACACGGTTGACAAGGTGTACGACTACCTGGACGACATCATCGACCTTGACAAAAACACCACCGGTGAGCCAACAGGATGAGCTGGTTGATGGTCATGGAAGACTCATGGTGGTTGTGCGCGTCTGTGCTGGGCAGATGTTGACGTTCTCGACTCGATCTATGACGACGTCAAGGACGTGGTCGACGGTGAGTCAGTCAGGGAAACAGACGCGTGACAGGGGACAGACAGACTGACTGATGGGCGCGCCTCACATCCATCCTGACCTGCTGCGTTGTGTGCCATCCTATCAGGGGTCGATGACATAGCCACGGATGTCGGCGACAAGGTGGTTGACGGTGTCGCGGGCATCGTCGACGACGGCCTCGACAAAATCTACGACATTGAGATCATCGACAAGATCGAGGTGGGTGGGTGAGGGCTGAGCCTGTCATCTCAGTCAATTGTGCCTTCTGTGTGTGTCTCGGCGGCCACAGGATATCTATGAGGATTTGAAGGTGCTTGCGGAAACCACCTCGCCCGACCTTGATGGGGTGAGTGAGTCGTGAGTGTGGGGGGTACACCCACACGCGTGTGCTGTGTGGCGTCTGGTGTCTGTGCAGGTGTATGACCTGGTGAAAGATTTGATCGACCTTGATGTCAAGAACTACACCGACATCGACATCATTGGCAAGATCTATGATTACCTCAACATCGACAAGGACCTCATTGACGGCGGTGAGTGGGTGGCTGGGAGACAGGCAAGATCTATGATTACCTCAACATCGACAAGGACCTCATTGACGGCGGTGAGTGGGTGGCTGGGAGACAGAGAGAGATAGGGATAGAGATAGAGACACAGACAGAAACGGAGACACATGTGTGTGCTCTAACGGTTCCTTCCTTGTTCCTTGCCTGCGTGTGTGTGTGTGTGTGTGCAGACCTGGCGGAGAAGCTCTATGACTACCTTGACATCGCCAAGAACATCCCTGGGGACATCCCTGACAAGGTCTATCAGGCACCGAATCCTCCCCTCCACACACCTTCCCCATGATTCTTTGTCATGTGCTCGTGTGCAGCCCGACGACTACCTTGACATCGCCAAGAACATCCCTGGGAACATCACTGACAAGGTCTGTCAGCCACCGAATCCTCCCCTCGACACCCCTCCCCCATGATTCGTGTGCTGTGTGGCGTCTGGTGTCTGTGCAGGTGTATGACCTGGTGAAGGATTTGATCGACCTTGATGTCAAGGACTACACCGACATCGATATCATCGGCAAGATCTATGACCTGGTGAAGGATTTGATCGACCTTGATGTCAAGGACCACACCGACATCGACATCGACATCATCGGCAAGATCTATGACCTGGTGAAGGGTTCGATCGACCTTGATGTCAAGAACTACACCGACATCGACATCATCGGCAAGATCTATGACCTGGTGAAGGATTTGATCGACCTTGATGTCAAGAACCAAACCGACATCGACATCATTGGCAAGATCTATGATTACCTCAACATCGACAAGGACCTCATTGACGGCGGTGAGTGGGTGGCTGGGAGACAGAGAGATAGAGATAGAGACACAGACAGAAACGGAGACATGTGTGTGCTCTAATGGTTCCTTGTTCCTTGCCTGCGTGTGTGTGTGTGTGTGTGTATGTGTGTGCAGACCTGGCGGAGAAGCTCTATGACTACCTTGACATCGCCAAGAACATCCCTGGGGACATCACTGACAAGGTCTGTCAGCCACCGAATCCTCCCCTCGACACCCCTCCCCGATGATTCGTGTGCTGTGTGGCGTCTGGTGTCTGTGCAGGTGTATGACCTGGTGAAAGATTTGATCGACCTTGATGTCAAGAACTACACCGACATCGACATCGTTGGCAAGATCTATGATTACCTCAACATCGACAAGGACCTCATTGACGGCGGTGAGTGGGTGGCTGGGAGACACAGAGAGATAGAGATAGAGACACAGACAGAAACGGAGACACATGTGTGTGCTCTAATGGTTCCTTCCTTGTTCCTTGCCTGCGTGTGTGTGTGCGTGTATGTGTGTGCAGACCTGGCGGAGAAGCTCTATGACTACCTTGACATCGCCAAGAACATCACCGGGAACATCCCTGACAAGGTCTGTCAGCCACCGAATCCTCCCCTCGACACCCCTCCCCCATGATTCGTGTGCTGTGTGGCGTCTGGTGTCTGTGCAGGTGTATGACCTGGTGAAGGATTTGATCGACCTTGATGTCAAGGACTACACCGACATCGACATCATCGGCAAGATCTATGACCTGGTGAAGGGTTCGATCGACCTTGATGTCAAGGACTACACCGACATCGACATCATCGGCAAGATCTATGACCTGGTGAAGGATTTGATCGACCTTGATGTCAAGAACCAAACCGACATCGACATCATTGGCAAGATCTATGATTACCTCAACATCGACAAGGACCTCATTGACGGCGGTGAGTGGGTGGCTGGGAG